GTGTAGTCAAAGTTGTGGAGAGCAGTTGGTCCAGTTACCAGTCTGCTGCAAAAGAGTTGGGAAATTCAGTGCACTTTGTACCTCTGCTTCAGTTTACTCTCTGTCTCTCCTTTACGACTCCAGGTCTGAGTAGGGTGTTGTTTCTCCCAAGGTCAAAGACAAGATGCTAGAGAAACCTAGCATTTTAAAATTAGGTGCTAAATGCATTTTCAACTACAACAAGAAACCTTTACAAAAAAGGAACAGGAGGCCGATATTAACCAACCTCCCGATATCAATCTGTAAGGGGAGGAAACATTCACTTATAAGAGCTTTTTTTTTCTCTTAACAGCTAAAAACACACTCCACACCACCAGGCAAGCAGAAGAAAGCAGTCATGGAGCTTTTTTTCATTGTCTGTACAACATTAGAAAAAGGTTTCTTAAACGGGGACAAGTCTTACCTTTGAGTCATAAGCAGACTGCTTTATTACTTCTGGGGCCATCCAGAAAGGTGTTCCTACAAAGGTGTTTCTCTTTATCTGCGTGTCTGTGAGCTGGCCCGCAACGCCAAAGTCTGCAAGTTTGACATCACCTTGCTCTGACAGCAAGACATTGGCGGCTGTGGAATACGGAAAGGCAGATGGAAGTTAGCTGAACTGATCAAAGGTTCACACTCTAATAAAACAGCATTCCTCTCTGTAGAATCCAGATGGCATCACGGAAAAGCAATGTCAATTTCAAGGTTCTGCAGATGGGCTATAATCTAGATCCACAGATATTTCATTCAGAAACAACTAATACCACATAGTCTTCTATATAGCATAGGCATGACATTGTTTAATGCAACAATCTTGTCAGGAAATCATTTTATTCTTTAGCTAAGTAAAATGGTACTTATCCATTTAACTATGTTTTACAGTACAACTATTTAATGAATGATACAGAAGTGAGATAAATATATATGATCATGTTTTTCCAAGAAGTCAAGCATTTCTAGGCATTACTAGAATAGCTTTTGATTTTATTTACTAGAACAATGGATTTTAAAGTAAACTATTTCTCCTATGATAAAAGAGATTTTATTGAGGTAGATTTTAAATCTGGGTATCACAGAAATTAGTGCAGTTTTATTAAGTTCTCAGTAACTCTTAACTTCTTGGATACTAGTGGACACAACAATCAACTCTCCACAGTGGTGGAAGAAATTTTATAGGATCACATTGCTGAAAAAGCACAGCGACTGTTGTATTATTTAAAAAAAGGAACATCTTTTATTATTTAAAATAATATTCCAAATAATCATATTCACATAAAAAGTTTCCTATTTAAACTACTTCATTGATGTAAGCAATAACTCACTGAAGCAATGATTTCCCACATACAAATATGCCCACGGGCAAATCCAACATACACAGCTGTTGGTATGAAATTAACTATTATGTGGGGGAGGCTGAAGGTGTTTTATCATCTGTGCTGATGAATGGTACCACATTCAGGCTCCAATGTTACAATACTAACTAAAAATGAAAATACAGAAAGGAAATTCTGAGGAAATAAGAGTTATACTTATTTTTAAATGTAGCAAAGTCAATTGTTCCTCTTTCTTTCTCATTTAACTCCCTTCTTCAAGTGGTTTCTAAGTTACTAAGCACACACTTACAAACATCACGCCACACAAAGAATGCCTCAGACTGGAATTAAAAATGAAAAATGTACAATCTTCTGATCATCCCTCACTTAATGGGTCCCTGAATGTCAAGATATCTACTGCAAAGAATCAGAATGATTTTGTTTTACTAGTGCAGCTTGCGTTGACATCACTTTAAAACCCCCTTGAAAAAATCAAAAAGATTTTTATTTTAGCCGAAGGTTAAGTGCCAAGTTTTTTTTAAATGGATAAAATTACGCTGGCAAATAAGTAATCTGTCAATTCAAAATGTAAGTAATTTGTGAAATCAATCCGTCAGGTCAAATCAAATCACAGCGGAGGGCTTCTTTTTTGCCGAGGGTTATAGCATCTTTTTGTCTGTAGTCTGTTTCACGCTGTATGATTTTTCTATTAAACGGAGTCTGTTACCAGATTCCACATAGAGAGCAAGGCTCTGCAGGATCTGAAGCAAAATGCTGACTGACACAAATAAATCAGAGGCAGATACTAGGCGAGTTATGTTTCTTAGGTTTCATTTATGTGGTACGAATGTTAACAATACAATATGTATTTAGCTTTTATAATAATAAAAAACTTTATTATATAAAGCACCTTTAAACGTGGCTTCTCAAAGCGCTTTACAGGATGACAAGAACAATAAATAAGAAGAATACACGAGATAAAACACAATTACTATATATAGAGGAGACCGTGGATGGTGGTACTAGGAAAAGCAGAGGTGTGAAGAATGGAACCAGTTAAGTAAAGGCTTTTCTGAAGAAGAGGATTTTGAGTCTGGATTTGAAGGAGTTTAGAGAAGGTGACTCTCTGATATCCTTGGGGAGAGAGTTCCAGAGCTTGGGGGCGTAAAAGGAGAAGGCCCTGTCACTCGTACAATGTAGACGGGCTTGGGGGACAGTAAGGAGAGCAGAATTAGAAGAGTGAAGGTTGCGAGGTGGGGAGTAGGGCAATAATAGTTCAGACAAGTACTGAGGTGCCAAGCCATGCAGAGCCTTATAGGGGAGCATGACGATTTTAAAGTCTACATGGAATTTGACCGGAAGCCAGTGCAAGGACTCCAGGATAGGAGTAATGTGAACACTTGCACTAGACCTGGTCAGGATTCTGGCCGCTGAATTTTGGACATACTGCAGTTTGTTCAAAGTAGATTTAGATACCCCAGCAAGTAGAGCATTACAGTAGTCAATTCAAGAGAACACAGATGTGTTGATCAGCTTTTCAGCCACAGTTAGTGAAAGCATAGGGTGTAGGCTATGCTGTGCCTTCTGATGTAGAGTAGGCAGTCTTCATAGTCAGACTTGAATTTAAAAGGAAAAGATTTAGTTTGAGAGCTTACCCTTTATATCTCTGTGGATTTTCTTTTCTGAATGCAGATATTCGAGTCCTTTCAATATTTCTCGAAGAATTGTCGCAATCTGGGTTTCGTCCAAAGGCCCCGGCTCCAACTGGAAAGGTACCACAACGTAAGATTTCTCAGAAATGAGTCAAAATAGAATGACTGGACTTTATTTAACTATGAACACATAGTTAAAAAAAACTCTCCTGGTTAATATTAGAACAAGAACGCAAAGTATTTTTATCCTAAGATTACATTTTTTGCTTGCACGGAACTTCACCCAAAAATCTGTCACTATAAGTTTTGCATTTGTCACTATAAGTACATTTCATGCAAAATTACAAATTAACAGCCATGTACAAATTGCTTATAATATAAAAAAGAATGAGCTACAACAATACTGCTAATACTGTGTGAATTTTATTTTAGACGTATTTTGATGTGTAATAATCATTAGTTTGGAGTACCATTATATTTTTAATGAATATTTTTAATGCATAGTATTTACCAAGATAAAACTATGTATTTACATATTAAAAAATAAATCCTGAAATCTGTACTTTGCTCAATACAAGGAAAAGAGCATTTGAGAGTGTGCTTATTTTACAATCCTATCTTCTTTAAACACAAGAATTTGACAAAAAAACATTAATTTGCGAAGACTCCATTTTTTGTGCAAAACTATGAAGTGTGTCTGAAGCAATTGATGTAAAACACATTTTTATAAAGCAAACTCACCAAATCCAGAGCAGATCCACCACCTAAATATTCCATAATTATCCATAATTTCGTATCCTGAAACAGAATAAGTAAAAAATAATGTTAACACAGAGCCTATCTTTTGTAGCAGATAAGACATATTCTCACCCCAGTCACAGATCATCATAGCCAATTGAAGTTTGAATGCCACTTGAATATGTGCTAGAGCAGTTAGATAAAACACAGATGCACAGTATATCAAGGATACTTTTCTTCTGTATCCCAATGGAAAAAAACTAATTTTTTTTCTAGGAAATCTAGCTGAAAGTAAATTACCGGGAGGTCCAGCAAAAAATTCAGGCTGCCCTCTGTCATTTACATTGTTGTTATGAAGTATAATAAGTTAAAGAGAACAGAAACACAACTCAAAATAAGGACCCATCACATTTTGCCTTTCAAAAGGCTTCTGATCTTTCAGAGGCATAACCTGTTTGCAGTACAATAGGAAGTGACAAATGGAGAGAAAGTTATTTATCCTGTACAACCTTAATGCTTCTGATGGCTGAGATTTTTTCAAACGTTTGCCAGAGAAGAAAGGATGGGCTCAAAATAATAAGTGTAATCGATTAAACACTAATCAGTGGATTGCATAGGTTTTGATCAATACAAAAACTCCTCAGTTGAGGAGTCTATCCATGTGTAAAAACCCCAAAAATCAAAGCAAAAACACATAACCAGCATTAGAAACTACTCTAGACAGTGGGAGAGCTCACAATGGCTACAGTGAGATGATATAACTTGAACTATGCAATGGAACCTCATGTTAACTAAAGGGGAAGAGCTTAAATATAGTATCTGCATTCATTTTAAAATCTAATCTCAACTAAAATAATCCCATTATTGCAAATTGTTAATCAATTTTGCTAATTAAATGTTTGGTTTCTTTAACAACAGCTATGTAAATGCTGGTTACATGCTGATGGGACATCCTTAATGATATTGTTTACTTATTTTCTACTGTTGTTCAGGAACTGCTGTATGATGGCACAGAGGTATTTCAGCAGTCTCCACAGCCAAGTCAAAGCAAGGTACAAAAAGTTGCTGCGGGAGAAACTTCACAAAACATTCATTTATCTTTATTGTTTTATACTATTATGGTCCTAAGCATTTCCCAGTAGTCGAATAGTCGAATACATTACAGATGCTTTGGCTAAGTGTTTTCATTTGTTTCCGTGAAGTACAGTACCGTTAAGAAAATAAGTGCATCTCTGAAAGTTGTGAGTGATGTCAGATAGCCGACTGTACTTGACAGCGACGCCTTTGTTACAGGGATGTTAACAGTGATTATAGAGACAGGGAAAAATATTGAGGTGCAACTCTGCAACCACTGGCCCAGAGCTTTATGTACCTTTCCCCTTCTCTAAGAGCCATTACCACTTACAATGCAGATCCAAGGGATGAAACAGAAAAGGTCTGTTCTCAATTACTGGATCTACAGCTAACAAAAGCTACATATTATTCTTGTTACTATGAGACACTAACACAATAACTAAAAAGCTTCTAGATGCATAAATGAGAACTGACATGTATTACCACAAAGTCTGCTAGAGGGCATTATTTTGAAAGGACAGATACATTTTTAACAGTTATATACTAAACAGGTTAATTGATCATGTAGATAGGGAGATTAACTTTTTACAAGAAAATGCCATGATTAAAACTCTAGTTAAAATGCTAATGCAAAATGGGCATTCCTGAAGGCACTGCCATCTAAACAGCAAAAGCAGAATACTATAAGCCATACAGGACTGCCACCTCACTGTTATTTTTGATTCATGTTTGGTTTCCTAATAAAGTGTCATGGACTTCTTTACTCAAGTGGCTTGTCCCATAATTTCCACAAACACGAAGACCTGAGACCCCTTAAAGCAGACCAATTTTAAAATTAAAACAAAATGTTATTTTAGATCATTTTTATCTGGAGACAGGGCCAATTTAAACAAAAAAATATTTTCAGACGTAAGCAAAAGAAAGGATAAAGATAAGCATTCATTCACACTACAACTTTAACCACTTTACTCCAAATGTTGACTACAAATAACCCAGCTAAAAAGTTAGGGAAAACAACACAAATTAGATTCACCAAGGTGCAGAAAAAGGAAACAATGTAAAAGGGAGGGTTAATTATAAGTATGGACACTACCTTAATTTAATTCCCTTACCATGATCAAACAATTCAGAGTTTCCGTTTTGGATTATGGAGCTTAAGTTTAAGGTTATGTGTTCCTGTATACAATGAGCGTCTCTCAACTTCTGTCAGAATAATTACACTAAGGATCTTTTTTTTGTTGTTGGATTTAGAAAACCCATTTAAAGCGTTTGATTTTTTTTCCTTGAAGCCACATGTTTTAACCCCGTTGTCAAATACAACAAAAACGCTTCAAAGATGATGCTTTCAAAGAAACCTCCCCCAGTGAACCTGGAGCAACCAATCACACACACCACCTCTGTGGATAACTAGGTCACACAAAGTATCGGCTGTATACAAATGGCATTAATAGAATTTATTATGATTAACACTCCTCCCTAGATAGGTGACCTCATGCTGCTTGTAAAAATAAAATCCAATAACAAGGTTTTAGTATGCTGCATTTTACCAGATAGGGCCAATTTAAAATAGTGGATCTTTTCCAAACTTTGCAGTTACTAGAGATAGTAGTACAAAAATATAATGCCACACATCTATTTTCTAAGATGTCAAAGACAACAGAGCGTGAAAATGAGACATAGATTCAGGAATAATCTGCAGCAAAAACTCAAGACTACCAATGGTTCATTTATACAAGGCTTGGTCAGTCAGAAGAGCGTTTTAATAACAGAACTAATAAGCAAGAGCACACATGAACATAAATGTCCTTATTGCTTTAGGATCTGATCGTGGACTTCAGTCCTACAAAGCATTACCACAAGCCGTTGAGAATTAATAACCACAGGTTTGGCAATCTCTTTACAAATTTCACAACGCTGCCAACTGGCAGAAGGAAAAAAAACACAGCAGCTCTGAAATACTACTTGTGGGGTGGATGTCAGTCTGAAAAAGCATTTGTAACATGCTTCAAAAAAAGGAAAAAAAAGAAACAATACAGTGAAAGGAAACCAAAGCATAAATGTGAGCCACAACAGTCGTCTGTTTACATTTTAACCAAAAACATTAAGAGTACTGTAAGAAAGCAAACTTGAACTCCAGACGTGTAGGTCAGAGGGCTTAAAAGGTGACGAGTTTCAGTTCTTCCCATTTGAAGCACATTGTGGGCATCTACGTTCAATAATCCTCCCTGCAGGTTTTCTTTGCCAGAACTCTGCAAGTGAGGCGCACTCTGACAAGAAGGAAGATACCAGTGATCTGTGTTTGACAGGACTACTAACTAACAGGTCATCTCTTATACTTCACTAACTAAAGTAGGTACTTTTCCCATCTTACAGTGGAAGAATTGTAGAATTACCCCAACGCACATTAATCTCTTGACAAGCTGTAGGGTATTTTCCATTATTGTGGATTTTGATTTCAAGACAGTGGCTCAGGTTTTACTCATCTGACATCAAGGAAGTTTTATGCTTAGCTGTGAATTTAACACATTTAACATCCTCTATCAACATGTGGATAACACAAGAAAAACTAGAAGATAAACGCTGAAAACTGTTTGGTAAAAAGCGACCCATAACTTTTTTTGTACCTAGGCTTACTAGGTTGAGTGCAATGTATTAATAAATTTTACATCATAATAATTTCCATGAATAAATCTTCCTGAAGCATTAACTATACAATACAAGCATAGTGGATTATAAATAAGGGCTTTTGTGACTGTGTACCATAATATTCAAACATGTATAGCTTGAAAAGCTGATTTATTTTAGTCTTGTAATGTTGGCAAAATGTGAAACCAACTCATATACAACTAGACAACTAGATCACTGGTGTCATACAGGGTGTTTGCCTGCAATATTAAAAACACATTACATATATTCCCAGATCACTCCAGACCTGGTTAACAAGTTATACGTTAAGTTATTTTCCAATAGCTGCAGTATATGTAGATTATTTACATGTTAAAATTAAAGTGCGCCACCTTTGTCCTTTACAAAGAGCTGCAAATTCTAATGCCATAACATGAAGAGGAAAAAAGGTAAACAAATAACAAAAATGAAAATTCTAAAGGACAAAAATTCAGATCCCTTGGCATATCTGTGATAACATTTCACAAGCCTGTGAATTTATAACCTGTCACATCCAAGAAAAAAATTTAGTTGACACTCTTTAATAAAAAGATAAAATAATGGGTGGGCTAAGAACTGAACAGCTTTTCTAAGCCTAAAAGTGTTCACATTGCATATTACAATTTAATTTCTTATCTCATTAAAAATTGCAGATCAAGCATGCTTTTTTTTCTCTTTCATATAAAATCAGAGCAAAAGACAGGACTCAGTCAAGATTTTGGAAGACTTTATTTTATCTAGAAGATACTAATCTCTCACAAGATAAACTCGCAATGACCTCTGCAGAAGCTGCATGGTAGTTCAAGAGGAAACACATTCGCCAATTTCCTACAATGGGCGTTACCTGAATGAAGACTCTGCTGTCAGGGGAAAAAGCACTTTATGAAATACTACCACACATTTTTCCCTATGAAGTATGCAAGCAATAAACTCTCATTTTAAACAAAAGAATGCTTACTGTTTCTGCGTAGCACTAAACAACTTCCATTTTTCTAAAGGTTCTAGTTGCAAGAGCTAAAAAAATACATTTCCTCCCCTTGCCAACTTCCAGTCAGGGACCAATGACACATAACTCTTTAAGAAGTACAGCACAAAGAATGCCACTGTAGCCCTTTTCACCACACTATTTAATGCTTTACAGAGTAAAAGCAGTGTCACTTTTTGCTGTCCAGGCTTTGATGCTAAGCAGGCGTTGCCAGTCCTGAACAATGAGATGAAAGACTTCTAAAATAACTGGACTTAACTCTATGCCCTTGGGTCAGAGCTGCATAATCTAGCTCTTGCTAAATTAAGAGAATTACACTACAAAGTGCAGAGGAGAGGTAAACCCTGTCTCCCAGGGAAAAATAAAACTTCCACCAATTCTTAAATTACTGTGTGATCCTTTTTGACTTGGCATGCCAAACTAGAGAGCTGAAAAAGTTAAAGGAACAGAATTTGCAGTGGTGTGTCACACGGCAACAGAATATATTGACATAAAAAGACCGATAGTAAGGAAGAAGAGAAAGAGGAACAGTAGGGAAAGAGAAACAGAGAAGAAAAAGAGCATACTCTCCCCCAGCCACTCTCCTCTCTCTTTAAATTTATGATCTGCATGAAGAGCTTGTTCAAATCAGTATTGGAAACCCGATTCTGCCTAAATAATTTGAACCCTGTTTTAGAGAGCTATCTGTTTCTGGCAAAGTTATCTGAACCCTACTTTACAGAGCTAGTTTTGAGGAAATTCTGATTTCCTGCATGGGAGAATCCTCAGTTTAAAAACATTCTTTCCTAGGTGGAATGGACCTAGGACCTTCCACCAGTCCAAGGTGGTGATGCAGTTTTAGAACAGGGAGACTGATTCATTCACTTTTGGACATTCATGTTGTTAGGAAGGGCGATTTACTTCTGGGTTGAATTATTTTACTAAGTTGCAGCTTTTCTTTCTTTTTGTGGCCTATAAAGGCGTTGCACTGTGTTTCAAATTAAAGGGGTAGAAGTCTGTTTCTTTTTGCGTTCCACATGGTTGATCACTTTATTGTAAAATTAAAGCATTCTTACTCATGGCAGATGTTTTGGACCGAGTGTTACTGCTAACTGCTACAGCTTAACAAGATTGACAGGCCTGAGTCTAAGGCTCTGAAGCATGGAGAAACACCTGCTACCCCACAGACAGGCATGCAAACTGTATCCCCAATAAACCCTTGCAGATAACATCCGAGGCCATAATGTGGAAGAAGAAACACAAATAAAGTAGTCTCTTTTAATCATTTTTACTGTATTATTTAACACAGTGATTCTTTATATTCTTATGGATATAGGGTAAGTCCTTAGAAATAGTCCAGGGGTACTCCAGATTTATTCTCTTCCCACAGGTGAAGCTCAAGAAAAAAATTCCACCAGCTCCAGTAAAACCATGCTGTCAAAATATTTTAATGACATCTATACCCATACATATCCCTAGAGAATACTAGTAACACAGATCCAATTTCTAAAGCCATTTGCCATTTCAAAAGTAATCAGTTTATAATGGAACAAGTAATAGGTTTATTCCATGCTGACACCTGAAGAAGGCTCCACGGCCGAAACGTTGTGTTCTCTTTCTTCTTTTTTTCAGCATGGAATAAACCTATTGTTCCTTTTGCAGCCTACGCATGCTGACGCAGCTACTCACCTGAACTACTATCAGTTTATAATGACTACATTATTGTGTAGTGTTTGCCAAGACAAAATTCACAAAAACATACAAACATTGCATAAAAACAATGTTTCAAAAGACATTTAAATTGAGGCAAGATAGCAGTGATGCAGAGACCAAGATCTAGAAAGTTAATTGGTAAGAAGAAACTGTTTATAGTTCCATGAAAACCAACAAGGCCCACATGCAAGCACAATGCATACTGCCTAACAAGAGATAACATACAATGCACTGCAGCTTAAATCACCGTACAATACCACCACCATCAAATAAAGATGTCCAGAGTAATAAATTAAAACAATGAATATTTGCTACCCCTTGATTAAAACACAATCAGCAATTTAACACTTACCAGACAGTATGAGACTGGACACTACTTTAAATAAGAATACACAATATTCTAAAACTGAACACAACATTGTTATGATATTATTTTGAAACAGTGAAACCTGAAACAGAGGCCACAAATGGAAATTGAGGACAGGAGGCACTTTACACGAATGGTTGTGGCAGTACGGGATAAGCTTCCCTGCCATTTTGTTGTACCTGATACCCTGGCTTCTTTCAGGAAATGGCTGGATGAGACCATTACCTCAATTCAGTACTAACACGCAAACGGGCGAGATGAGATAAATGGCCTGCTCTCATTTGTAACCTTTCTTGTGTTCTTATACATGGGAACTTTAGTGATATGCATTTAAAACTGAGAACAAGAGACATTTATTCACACAAGGGGCTATGGGAGTGAACTAGCTACTCACCCATTCCTTCAAAGTGGATATCATTGCTTTTTTCAAATAACAAATGCCAGGAAGAGATCCTTGGATCAATTAGCTACCAAATCCCAAGCCAGCTAAATGGATTGAATGGCCTTCTCTAGTTTGCATACATCTGTGATCTTTTATTCAAAACCCCAGAGGTGAATAATGTACTGTAGTTATATGAGCATATTACTAGACCTATGAAGCCTTGCACATACATCTAAAACAAGAGACAAGAATCTGAATTACATTATCACCGACTGCAATAATAGCCTATTGCTGGCCTACATGAATGTGATGAGGACGCAGGTGCTAAATATATACTGCTTATTTAAAAACTCACATGTAAGACCAATAAGAGCAGCAGACTTATAAACGAGTCACAGGCGCACACATTACATGCTAACCAGCACAGGAAAATTGATGTGTTTTTGTACCATGAAAAATACAAATATAGAATAATAATCACATTCATGCTCCATTTAAATACTATTTCAGCATACCTCTATGTTGATTGCTAAACTTTAACTTTTTAACTTTAACATTTGGATCGGCAGATCATAAGGCAGCCAAATATTTTATTCAGACTATGAATCAGAAGCACTTTGCTTCTTCAGACAACAGAAACAACATTCTGCTAAGAGCACCTCTGTCCCACTTGGTCATATGAAAGATTTAGTAGCCCGTGATTTTTAGAGCTTTTGAAAATGCCACAACGTCTATAACTGAGTCGTGCTTACTCTTTCACAGCCCTTCAGGCTAAGTAGGAGGAAACAATCACTGGCCACTGGCCTAGACTGAATAACACTACATCAAGTTCTGTCATGTTATGAGAAAAACAGGAGTGAAATGGTCATCTCTGCATCTTGGGGATTTCATATGGAGATCTATATTGCATTGTGCTTCCACATAGGCAAATAAGATAAGCTTCATCGACATTACCTCACTGCACCACAGCAACATTTACTAAGTAAGCAGATTGTACACTGCCAGAATTTAGTCCAAACTGCGAGAGTACAACAGAGTGGCTTCCCACTGCCACTCTGTTAACTCGTCAAGAGCTGCCAATTAGATTTGTCGCACAACATGAAAATGGTACAGACACACAAGGGATTTCAACACAAAATCTTACTGTTCGGGCACAGGAGAAAGACTGCGTCAAAACATGCTTCCGATGAGAGGTGCCAACTGCAATATGGGACCAGATAAATTCCAATGCTTCACGAAGAGATAAATGCTCCCTCTACCCCAGGGTTAGGTTTATTTTACTACAAAAGGGGAAAGGTTGTTTATTGTAGGTGCTAATGGGAAAACACAATACCCTCTCGTGGTTTAGAGTTTCCCCAAACAGTAGCTTTGGAACTCATCCACCCACACTTCCAAAGTGGAGAATATTTCAAATCTTGCAGCAACAGACAGCAACAAAGAATAACAAAAGTGCTAATTTCTCTTGCCTAAGGGGATTTCAAAATACAGCAGACAAGAAGAAAAAAAAGATAAACATGGAAAATGCCCAAAGACATTTACCTCTGCATAAATTGTAGAGAACCTACTTTTATGATGTCAGAAATTCTTCAAAGGCAAAAAGTGATGAGTATTTTATGAGAAGACAGTATTAAATGTACTGCAAATCGTGGAGGACATGTTATTGTTTGATCTTTAATCCAATGAGACTGCACTTGTTCTGGAAATCTAAAAATTAGAACAACAACTGGACATCAAAGAACTATATATGCTGCTCTGTGCAGCAACAAGTACCTGTCTTCATAAACACCTCTCAGTGCTCTCCCACACACAGACTTAAGTGTTCACACTTCACATCAGAATTCACATACTTCCACACCAACCACACTATTTGTTATGGAACTGATTGAACACAAACCTATCTATTATCATGTAAAGGCATACAGCAGAAACGTACGGTCATCAAATGGTGCCATCTCTTTGTCTTTTCAATTGTAACCTCAGGTTTAAATGTGCTACATTTGCTTCCTCAAAGAGGACTGAACCATGTGTTAAACAGGTATCTGACCACTGAGATTTTTAGTACAATGATGATTAACAGTAAAATCAAAATGGCCTACCTTTAAGCTAGCGAGAGGTACAAAGCAATGGGCAGATGTCAGTAGAGTGGGAAACCTACCTTGAGATAAGATCCGTAGTACTTGGTTACATAGGGGCTGTCGCACTGGCTCAGTACAGTGATTTCCTGCTGAATGTCTTCTATTTCATCCTCCGCTTCCTCCAGGTCAATTATTTTTATAGCCACAACTTTCTGAGTCCGATTGTCAATGCCTTTAAACACTTCTCCAAAAGAGCCTTTGCCAATCTTCTCCAGTTTGGTAAACAGTTCCTCGGGGTCAGCTTTTAAACTCTGGGTGAAACAAAAAATAAAAAGTGTTTTATTTCATTCATTCTTCCACATAAACAGTAAACACCTGATAGGAAGAGTGACAGAAAGACAGGCCCCAAAAAATACCAGCATTGTGCAATGAAGAAATCACAAACATTTAAAGCACCTTAAAGGGAAAAACAAGATGCATGGTCCCGAGACCTTTTCTAAGCCAGGAGGGCTAAACTCAAGTTTGAAAGAACAACAGTGTCTTACGCTTTTCATTCAAACATGGCTCAGAATAAAGTGGATGAACCAGCTGCTCAAGTCGGAGGAGTTAACATGGCTTCCAAATCTGTTCATTGACTTTTAAAGGCTGTCTATGCAGCCTGCTTGACAGCAGGTCCCCAGGACCAGGCCTGCCCTTACCCACATGATTAAATGCGTTACGGAAAGAAAATGAAGGAAGAAAATTCTGACCCAAGAATGTTATGAGACAGATTGGAAAATCTGAAAAAAGTTTGAAATAAACTATGTTTCACGACAAGTCTCAGGTTAAAGCTTGCCTATACAGAATAAACCATTCAGCGCACTACAGGATACTCTTTCTTTAATTCTGTTCTGAAATTCTCAAGGCTCCAGGTGGGATTTGTTCAACACAATAATGGCAGTAAAGGACTCCATAAGAAGTACGTTTAAATCCAGTGAACACCACTACAATAAAATTCGCAAAACAAAATTATTTTTAACTTAGTCTAGAAAAATGAAAACAACCCTGCTCAACGTGAATCACAGTGCTCTTCCGCCTGGGGGCAGATTAGTCAGAAGAGGGCCAAGCAGTTTGCGCCGAGTGAACTCTGGAACAGAGGCTAGATGTCGGGCAGACTGGAGCTTAGGTCATGACAAGACGCATTTGTTTGGTGAGCAGACAACCTCAATCAGGAGAAACACTGACTGGCCTCAAACATTCAGAAAGTAAATGTGATGGAGAGATCAGAGCTCCAAATATGATTATCACCATCAGTCTTGTATACATTTTCGTCTTTTTTTTCAGCTTTATTTATCTGTGTAACCCATACGTAGAGAGTCTGCTTACAAGACAGGCACTGAAATTTGCATGATTCTCTGGCTGCAGCAGATACCTCTTAAATGAAGGCAACTTTCTTCATTTTTACAAATCAGGTCTCTTAGCCATCAAATTATTTTTAGCATCTCATTGATAACAAAATCGTTAAACTATCAATCATCTCATTGATAATTTAAAAAGCACGATTTGAGAAACCACAAACTTACAATAGCATACATAACACAAGAGCAGAAACATCAAATGTGAAAGATTTCTTGACTGCTTTCAATATAAATATTTAAATCAGCCCCTTTGGGCAATTGTATTATTTTTTCATACCCTCAAGACTAGTGTCAAAATACATACTTAAAGAAACCCCTTTAGCCAATTTCATACATTCAGCATTGTCTTTATTTAATAATTGATTTGCAATGTAATTTTCTTAATGCTGTATTATCTTCACCAAGTCAAGACGTTCCTTGACTCTAGAAAGCCTAGTAAGGTTCCACTGTAGGGGTCACAGGACTTAAAATCAATATGGTGGAGTGCAGTCAGGGAGCCATCAAGCACAAATGGAGTTTTACTGCAACAGATAAAACACTGTCCTGCCCAGACCATCACATTTGGCTCTCCCCATCAATTACTCTATCCTTGTCCTCACTGCTGTTCGGCAGGGTGTGCATGTCAAGTGTGAGCTTCTCGAGTGGCTCAGTCAGAAGAGACGCTAGTTCAAGGTCGAGGTCACGGGCTCAGGCCTGGGCCATGTCACTAGCCAACTGCGGCCGGGATATCCTGACTGAAGGCATGTGATTGGCTGGGTGTCACCAAGAGTATGATGGGATTTATCAGCCAGGGCCAATCAAGGACCTCTGCAGCCTCCTCCCTTCGATGGTGAACCTCAGGTACAAGACAATTGCCTCCAAAGAGCTAAAAGACATTTGTCATGTAGCTGGGCAGATCACAGCAATCCTCATTCTATTTAGCATGTGACTGATTGTACCTGCAAGCCAGTAGGCGAAAAAAACAAACTGGCAATCCCAAATCAGATGAGTATATCAAAATTAATTCTAAATTTTAAAAATAAGTAAAATTCGGCATTACTTGGTTGTTTTGTCCAAATAACGCAGCACTGCAACTGACAAGCAAATTCAGGCACACTCTGTCAAATTAAATGCTAAATTAATTAAAAATTGCCTTTGAGAGACTATAAGAATTATTTCTAGTGATTTCAGGGCAGGAAATAAACTGATAAACATCATGATAGTTGGGGTGGAGAGGGCAAGCAGCAGAAAAAGATGTTATCAAGCACGCTAACGTTCCAAGGAAGCAACAGCACGGCAGGAGACACTCATGTGAAAAACTCTGCCTGTGTGCCTGCGTGTAGTTCAGCTTGCACAGAGGCATTCCCTTACAGCCCAACTGCCTGGCAACAGCACGCACCGTGCAATGCACAAGAGCTGGAAGCCTGAAATGCGGCAACCAAAAGAAAAAAGAACTGGCACAGACTGGGTTGCAAAAGGAGCAACAACCAGCACAGCAAGCAGAAGAGTTAAAGAAAAGAGCATAACAATACATGCTCACAATCTGCGGTCCAGCTCACACCATTGTGCCACCGAGAGAGCACAAGATGAAACTATGCAATAGTACATTTAAGACCCAGGAGGCACTCTTTATAAAAAGAGTTGCAGGAGAATGGAACGAGCTACCCAAAGCTACCTAGCCGTGAAGCCGTCACACTGGTTCCCCCTAAGAAACATCTGGAAGAGACCCTTGGAGCACTTTTGTCTACTAACTTCCAAAAAAGACTTGATGGGCCAAAAGGTTACAATTCTTAAATTCCAACATGCCTTCTCCCTTTTTCTTCCCTCCCCAGGCAGGCAACACACTCTGATCTCACATGCAACACTGCAACTTCCATGCAGCCACGCTCTCTTAAAGTCAAATGAACTGGACTGACGTCACAAGTCTTAAAAATACACACTAGAAAATCAAGTGTAAAAAGTGCCAGACAGAACATGAATCTACACTTGCAAAATCACAGACTTCCCTTTTGTGCTTCTTTTAAAAACACTGCCAGCAGCGACACAACTTGAGACCACTTCAGAGCAAAACAGAAGCGAACCAACTTTTTCACCTTAATGAAGCCAAGTTGTACAAAGTTATCACAATTGTCAATTTAAACATATTTAAGGTATTTTCCAAGTCATGGCTACTTTTTTTTAGTACACCATTACAACAGTGATGTAACATTTATGTATTTATTTTTTTCTGTGAAATATGGTGCAAAAAATGTACATAAATAAGGTATTAAAAATTAAAAAGGAACCAGTCTTTTATTACTGTTCAGTTTTTCATGTTTTCATTCTCATATGTATTATAACAGAATCTGTATCGTGAACTAAAATTTTGACATCTCTCACCAATACAATGTACACAGAGTGCAACCTGAGCAGTGTACAAAGGAAGCACCGCACAGTTCAACTGCTGGCTCCATCAAATAGTCTACACTTTCTGCACGATCTTCATGCTCAAATCCAAACTGATAAAGCTAAAAACCGCTGAAAGTATGCAGATTCAATTTTCAAAGAAAATCAGAAGATATGCAATTGCTTATGTTTTCAACTCCTTTGCTAAATGAATCCTAAATCCATTTAGGTGCAAAGAAAAGCTCGTAAAATAAATCTAATCTAAGCTCTGCATGTAATTAAAGTGGTATAACTGGACTTCAGACTAAATGCATCCGTCTCTGTAAGTTCTCTCAGACAGATATTGAATTGTATGTCACAACTCACATAGTAATATGATGAATCGACCATTAACAGAAGCTTTTAAACCAATCAGGGATACAGCAGTAGAGTGGCAGCAATCAGAAGACTAGAACTTTGAGTACAGTGCAGGCTATCACTAAGAAGTGGAATGTGCATTGCACCACCCAGACACTACAGGATCAGCCCATCCTATTAAGCTGAACAACTGGGCAAGCAGAATAAGCTACTGTTTATATATGTAGACAATACCCAGATTTCTACATAAACCTGGTCTTCACGAGCAAGTAGACTTTATGGACAAAGACTTCATCTTATATAAAATGTTTTGCAAACATGAAACAGAAGGCTTTCTGGTCAAATAAGAAAAGAAATGAACTTTGTGGTCTAACTGCAAAGCATTTATCTTTTAAAACCATAACAGCACATCACCCAGTCTACCCCATGCCAACTGTCAAACATGATAATGACAGCATTACAGTAGGAGGATGCTCTTATCTGAAGGGACTGGGTTCCTAGAGGAAAACTTGCTCAAGACACCCAGTAACATGAAACCGGGTGAAAATTCTGCATTTCCCCAGGTGAATGACCTGAAGTGTAAGGTCCTTGAGTGGCCCAGCCAAAGTTTAGGCCTAGAAAACTTATGGTGAGGCATGACAAGTGCAGTTCAACAACAATCCCTGGCAGAACTGGAGTAACTTTGCCAGGAAGAGTGACCAAAATGACACCATCCCAAAGGCAGCAGAGATCTATCCACAATTACTGACAGCAGAGGCAGCTGACAGGTATTTCTATCAAGCACAGACATGTGGGGCTCCATATTTATCCAATCAGTAAATGTTACTTTGTTGTCCTTGTTTTCAGTCTTTGAGATAGTCAGCCTTTCTGGCCCATAGTTTTATCATTAAAGTTTAAAATCCAAATTTATTTTAGAAAATATACACATTACTTGTAATTCCTAAAAAAGGAAAATGCTGGAAGGCAATAAATGTTGCAGAAATGAGGAGAATGCCAGTGTTTGTAAGGTGGTTTTCTATTTTTAATTATCTTCAAAAAACATACTGGCCAGTATATTTGTGTCTGAATTGTGAGGGTGAGCCCTGTGATGGCCCTTACCAGTAAAATGAGGTTTTCCATTAATGGATGGTTGAACAGAGTACATGCATTACCATTTGGTCACTCCAGCTACTGACAAACCCATTTGCAGATGT